GCGAGGGAGAGAGAGAGAGTATAGGCTAAACTGAAGACGGAAACAGAGGCAGAAGGCGACAGAACCAAATCAGCGAAGAACACCAGAAGCAAACTTCGATTAAAAGAGGGCGAGCCAACTACGGAAAGCAAATGAAAATCTGCGTCCGACACCTAGTCTAGTCTTCATGTCTTCTCACCAGTGCGGAGCTAAGTGCTGCCACTAGGACGTGGGAGGGAGCCCCCGAGGCCCGAGGGCGGCACTCCTGAGACTCCGGGGCATGTACAGCCCCACTCATTATTACATGAGAGTGTCATGAGCGGAGACCTTGACAGGCACTGGGCCTTCTTCACAGGCGTTGGGCCTTTCTTCACAGGTGCTGGGCCTTTCTTCACAGGCGATGGGCCTTTCTTCATGGATAGAACTTCCGGAGGTGCTAGATGTTCCAGGCGTTCTGGATGGGTACCCCGTCCTGTGTCTCCAGGCACGCGGCGCCAAGCCTGGAGACATGGACGACCTTGAACAGGCCCTCCCACATGGGTGAGAGCTTATGCGGCCCTTCCCTGGAGAGCACCCGCCTCAGGACGAGGTCACCCACCTCGAGCGTCCTGGAGCGAACGTTGTGACAGTGGTACCGCCGCAGCGCCTGCTGGTATCTTGCCGCCCATAGTGCAGCTTCGCGGCGGCGTTCCTTCCCCAGCACGAGGTCCATCCCCCGCATGGCGTCCTGCTGCGTTTCATAAAACGCCAGGACCCGTGCGGAGCGATGCTTGACCTTGTGAGGGAGGATCGCTTCTGCTCCGTAGACGAGGAAGAATGGGGTCTCGCCCGTGGGCTTGGTGGAGGTGGTGCGGATGGACCACAGCATGGACTGCAGCTCGTCGTGCCAGCCCCTGCCGTAGGCTTCGAGCTTCTTCTTGAAGGTCCTGGTCTTGAGGCCTCTCAAGACCTCCGTGTTGGCGTGTTCAGCTTGGCCATTGCTCCGGGGGTGCACCACTGAAGCGTAGCAAATCTACATTCCAAGGTTAGTGCAGTATGTTTTGAAAAGATTACTGGTAAACCGCGAGCCATTATCGGTGATGATGCGGTTGGGGACCCCAAAACGGCTCACGAGGCCCTTGATCAACTTGACCGCAGAGCCAGCTGGGATGATGCGGACGGCTTCCACCTCCGCCTACTTGGTGAACTTGTCGATGGCAACGTAGAGGTATCGATAGCCCACAGACGCTCGAGGGAATGGGCCCAGGATGTCCAGTCCCCAGACTGCAAATGGCCACGAGAGTGGAATGGTTTGGAGGCCCTGAGCTGGCTGATGGATTTGCTTGGCGTGGAATTGGCAGGCCTCGCAGGATCTCACCAGCTCAGCTGCGCCATTGAGCGTCGTAGGCCAGTAGAATCCGCTGCGGAATGCCTTGCCAATGAGGGTTCGTGACGACGAGTGGTGCCCGCAGTCCCCGCCGTGTATGTCGGCTAGCAGCTCTTTCCCCTGTTCCCTAGAGATGCAACGCAGTGAAACATCATTTGGCCGCTTCCTGTATAACGCACCGTCCTGGATGCAGTATACCGTGGCTTGCCGGGCCACACGCTTCGCGTCCTCCTCCTTCTCCGGCAGAGTTCCTTGCATAAGGTATTCCTTGAATTCCTTAGTCCAGCATCCCTCCTGGGGCTCGAGCACCAAGAGTAGACGTGCTCCCGAAGTCGGGCCATGGGTTGGGGCTCCCATGGCAGGTGGCTGCGGGAGCTCCTCCCGAGGCTGTGTTGTCCTTAAAAGCGGTGGTGTCGCCGATGGCTTGAAGAGCCGCTCCTCGAAGACGTCAGGCTCTTGGGGCTGTCGCTTGGATGCCCTTCTGGCAATGTCTTCGGCTTCCTTGTTGGTTCCCCGGGGCACGCGCTACAACTCCAAGCCCAGGAACTGCTTCTCCATCTTGCACACTTCCGCGAGGTATGCCTCCATGTGTTCGTCCTTCGAATCGTATACCTTGTTGGAGAAGTTGGCGAGGAGCTGCGAGTTGCCCCTGATGGTGAGACGCTTCACCCCCAGTGCCGCCGCAGCCTTCAGGCCGGCTATGAGGCCTTCGTACTCTGCAATGTTGTTGGAGACCTTCTCGCCCTGCTGGAAGCAGAGCTGCGCGGCGTAGTAGAGCTTGTCCTGAGTGGGAGAGATGAGCACTGCTCCAGCCCCCGTGCCTTGGCACGCGAAGGCACCATCAAAATACATGACCCAGCCGTCGGGCGCCTCACTTCCCGGCGAGAGGGACCGGTCCTCGCCTATTTCGAGCGTCGGGGCGTCCGTCCATTCTACCACAAAATCGGCGAGCGCGGCTCCCTTGATGACCCTGGTGGTGCTGAACTCCAACTGGAATGCCTGCAGCTCGATGTTCCACTCGGCGACCCTCCCCGTGGAGTTGGGGCTCCTGAACACCCTCTGTAGTGGGTAGGCCGAGACGACCTTGATGGGGTGGCCTTGAAAGTAGTGCCGCAGCTTACGTGAGGCCACCAGGAGCGTGAGTAGGAGCTTTTGAGGCATGGGGTACCGTGTTCTTGCATCCCACAACACCATGCTGACGAAGTATACCGGGTGCTCGATGAGGGCAGGTGCGCTGATGAGGATTGCGTGTTCCAGGAGTTGGGGTGCCTCCTGAGGTGGTGGAGCCCCCAATGCTTGATCGCTTGTCGAGGCCTTTGCGGGTTCGGGAGCATCGTCCTACTGAGCTTGATCCTCTGTCGTCGCTGTTGCGGCCCTTGCGGCACCCTCCTGGTCTTGCGTCGTCTCTGCTGGGGGCGTAGCTTGGCGCGATGCGCCCTTGGCTTGGTGTTATTCCCAAACCGCCACTAGAGCTGCGCTGGCGGAGTGGGGAGTGGCGGCAAGATAAAGCACTAGGGGCTCGAGAGGTCATGGCACCACCATCACTGGAGGGCTGGTCAGGTATCTCTTGAGGTCTTGAAATGCTCGGTCGGCCTCCAGGGTCCACTCGAATGGGCCCTTCTTCTTCATAAGCTTGAAGAAGGGTAGGGCGCGCTCTCCCAGCTTGGAAATGAAGCGTCCCAATGCAGTCACCCGTCCAGCGAGCTTCTACATTTCCTTAAGGGTTTGCGGTGGACTCATGTCTTCAATGGCCTTGACCTTCTCTGGGTTGGCCTCGATCCCCCTGTCGGACACAAGGAAGCCCAGTAGCTTATCGGAAGGGGCGCCAAACACGCACTTATCCGAGTTGAGCCGCAAGTCCACCTGGCAGAGGCTTTCAAAGGTCTCCTCCAGGTCTTGGATCAAGGTCCTCGCCTCCCGAGACTTCATCACGATGTCGTCTACGTAGGCTTCAGCGTTTCTCCCGAGATGCCGACCCAAGGCGATGTGCATGAGCCGCTGGAAGGTTGCGCCTGCGTTGCGCAGCCCGAAAGGCATGCAAATGTAGCAGTACACCCCACACGGGGTCAGGAAGGCTGTCTTCTCCACATCTTCTACCGCCATCTTGATCTGGTGATATCCTGAGAACGCATCCAGGAAGCACATCAAGCCGCACTCGGCAGTGGAGACGACGATCTGGTCGATGCGTGGAAGAGGGAACGGATCTTGAGGGCAGGCCTTGTTGAGGTTGGTGAAGTCGACGCACATTCGCTCCTTCCCTCCTTTCTTGGGCACGACGACGGGGTTTGCTAGCCACTCGGGGTACCGGACCTCGTGAATGACACCCGCAGCCTTCAACTTGCGGGTCTCTTGGATGATGAAAGCTTGCTTCTCCGTGGACTGCCGCCTCACCCTCTGCTTTACGAGGCGTATGTTGGGGCACACCTTCAGGTGGTGCTCTATCACCCCTCTTGGGACTCCTACCAGCTGATTGGGCTCCCAGGCAAACACTTCCTTGTTTGCGCGCAAGAACTTCACGAGCGCCTTCTCCTGATCAGGCTCGAGGTTGGCGCCTATGGTAAAGGTTGCCCCCGAGGACTCGTCCTCCTCGACTGGCACTTGCTTGGTTTTCGCCTTGTCTTGAGTGAAAAACTGCTTCTTCTTGGTTGGTGCGGCTCCCTTGGCCTTGGAGGTATCCGCATCGGCGGGCTGCGCTGTCGCGGCGGTCTTGAGGGCGAGCTTGAGCGTCATCAAGGCTTCCTTGGTGCCCCCAACTACTGTGAAGACACCCTTGTTCCCGGGCATCTTCATGAGGTTGTAGGCCGGATGGATCGTCGCCATGAACTGAGCCAGGGCAGGGTGCCCGAGGATGGCGTTGTACGGGAGGCCGATGTGGGCGATGTCGAAGTCGACCAGCTCGGTGCGGTAGTTGTCGCGCGTGCCGAAGGTCACGGGGAGGCGGATCCTCCCCAGGGAGTGGGCGGAGCCTCCACCAACCCCTGAGAAAAGGCTTGCTAGGGCGGAGCCGCTCGAGCGGTACGTGAAGAAGGCTGAAGGCCTCGACCGAGAGCACGTTGAGGCCGGCGCCGCCGTCGATGAGCGTCTTAGTGACGGACACATTGCAGATGGTGGGCGTGCAAAGCATTGGGAGCACCCCCGAGCCGACGGTGGAGACGGGATGATCCCCTGAGTCGAAGGTGAGGTCGGCCTCGGGTGCGGCCCAGCCCGGCGGAGCCCCGGGGTGCTTGGAAGTGGCGCCAATCTGGCGAAAGAACGGCTTGACATGACGATCCGAGGGTGATGCTTGTGACCCGCCGAGGAGGGCCGCACCCGCGTGGTGCGCCGGCGCCGCATAGCGTGCAACGAAGAGGCCGCGCAACTCCTCCCAAGATGCCACCGTGGATCCGGGGAGGTTGAGCAGCCAGGCGCGCGGTGCACCAGTGAGAGCTATGGGAAGCCAGTTGGCCATGACCTTGTCGTCGCCCCGGCCTTAAGGACGGCCTCCTCATACGCCAGCAGGAAAGCCGACGGGTCCGCCGCGCCGTCGTAGCGCGGCGGCATCTCCGGCTTGAACTTGGGCGGCCACTGCACCTGCCGCAAGGCGGGAGAAAGGGCTCGGAGCCCCCAAGCGTCGATGTAGGCACCCGTAGATCCAGCCGGAAGGGCGGCGCTAGCCATGGAGAATGGGCGTGAAGATGGTGGAGCGCGAATCGACGGAAGTAAAACTCCGGCACACCCCTACCTGACGCGCCAAATGTCGAATCTCGGATTCCGGCAAAAACCCTTAAGATCCGAACACTGGGGTGCACACGAAGATCTCCCCCTACCAACCTATGCCATCAACCTCGCCACGATCTCAAAGGCAAGCTCAACGAACTCGCACACAAGGGACACAAGATTTATACTGGTTCGGGCCACCATTGTGGTGTAATCCCCTACTCTAGTGTGGTGTGGTGGATTGCCTCTCGGGCTGAGGATGAATAGTACAGGGGGAAGAACAGCCTCATGAGGTGAGGTGTTCTTGTGCTTGGTGGGTGTGAGGACGGGTTGGATCTATCCAAGATGAGATGGCTGAGGCTCAGTTGCCTCCTACTGTGGTGGCTAATCCTATTTATAGAGGCTCTGATCCTCTCCCCAAATATTGAGCGGGAAGGGATGCCAAAACGATAAATTTGAAAGGGGACAGCTAGTACAAGTTATCCTGACAAAAGCAGTCTTCGTCTGCCAAAGGCTCTGGTGGTGGCACCGCCTTGGGCTTCATGGTGACCTCCGTCTTGCCGTCCTGCTGGTCTTGATCTCGTTGTACCATTATGAAAACCTTTGCTTGACGCCTCGGTACTCCTCGTCTGCGCTTGCATCCTTAGCATCAAAGAGGAAACAAGGATACTGTGCGCGCTGGCGCCCGTCTGGTCTCGATCGTCATGGCTCACGTTATTGGAGTCTCGCGGGGTTTGCCTTGCCTTGACCTCTCTGCCCCTCGCGGGCCAGTCTGGCGAGGCCGCTTCCGAGGAGGTCTTGTGTCGTCCGCCTCGCGAGGTTTGGCCCCTCGCGAGGGTTTTGAATGCTTGTTGGTGAAGATGGGCCGTACGGGCCCGTTTGCAGAGCCACGTCGTGGGCCGCAGGCAGGCAAGTCTGGGGACTCCCGTTCCCAGAACGCCGACAAAAAGTGGTGTCAAGAGGGTGATGTTTTATTGTCAGCAAAATTTCAAGTCGAAACACATTAAGAAATATGAGCTATGAAGAAAAAACAAATTCACATCCACAGATGATCTAGCAACGACTACAAGCAAAACTTGTTGTAGTAGACAGTCAGAAAGTCGTCGTGCTAAGGCACCGTAGAACAACAACCGTCGCCAATAAAGAATAGCGTAGGTTGGAAAGATCCAACCTGAAAACACATAAACGCAGACGAATTACAATCAGATCCGAGCAAATTCACCAAGGACAGATCCACGTAGACACACCTTCACACGTATACCGATGATGCTAGACACACCATCGGGACGGGGGTAAGGCAAATGTGTCTCTTTTTGGCAGCAGTAGTACGTTTTTACCCAGGCGGCCAGACGACAGTCGCAGCGCGCAAGAAGCGGTGATTTGTCACGCCGCGGGGTAGGGAGCAATCCCGCCCGCCCATCTCGCCATCCGGCGGCCACGGAGGTGCGCAGGGCAGGCGGCCGCAAAAAAGGCCGACCACGAGCGCACCACATACGGAGCCCGAGGCGACGCCCCGACGACTCCACCCATCAAAAGGGGGGCCGGGCGAGGCGAGCGAGCAGCAACTCCAAGCTACGCAGCACACAACTCTCTCCACCCCCAGCAATCCATCCACCCCCACCCCCCTTTC